CTGCGTGGCTGACTCATTGTTCATGCACATATGTCTCGTTCACTCATTGATCTTTCTCATATATCAGATTTATTTATGAACATATGTCGCGCGCAATCATTTATCTATGTTGTATGCCAGTATTGTTCGTGTATGTGTTTCACCGATCACTGATCGCTCATATTTTATTGTTATCCACGTATATATGTCTCGTGCGCTTATTGATCTAAACATTATCTCTATATCGTTCAGAATATTTGTCCCATGGTCTTGTTAATCTGGGTTGTATTTCAATATTGTTATATATAAATGTCTCACGCGCTAGTTGGTCTGTCATAAATTTGTCTCTATAGCTCAGATTTTTTTGTCACATAGACTCACTAATAAATGCAACATTTCACTAGTGTACAAGTATGTTTGTCCCATAGACTCTCTAATAAATGCAACATTTCACTATTGTACAAGTATATTTGTCCCATAGACTCACTGATAAATGCAACATTTCACTAGTGTACAAGTATGTTTTTCCCATTGACTAACTGATCAATGCAACATTTCACTATTGTTCAAGTATTTTTGTCCCATAGACTCACTGATCAATGCAACATTTCACTATTGTTCAAGTATTTTTGTCCCATAGACTCACTGATCAATGCAACATTTCACTATTGTTCAAGTATTTTTGTCCCATAGACTCACTGATCAATGCAATATTTCAGCACAATCTATATGTATTACTTAAGTCTCTTCCTCCTTTAGCTGACCACATGTCTGGAGGTTGTTGACCATGAGGTTAACTAGAAAACCGGACCTTGTGTCTGTGTCTAGCTAGGGAAGAAAGAGGTAGTCTGTAACAGGACTGGTCACTTCTCCCAGCACCTTCTGGCCCCGACATTGGTTTTTCCCTCCTACAGGTAACAAGGTAAGCATAGTTCCACATTGATAGCAAACGGCACAGCCCATAGTTGCTCCGTTCCTGTTGTAAAGAAAAACCACACAGAATGTCTTTCACTGTCTTTGTGGTGAAGGGTTGGGAGCTGGTGGACTGACACAGACTGTAGTCACCGCAAAATCCAGTAGTATGCACAAGCATTAAATACACAAGGCAGCTGGTAAAAGTAACATCACCAAGTGTCCGACACCACAAATAAAGTTCATTCCCAATTAAAGTAACAGTTACAACAGATCTGTAGTTACACATGTAACTAATCATATAAGGCACCACGAGTTTTCTGAGAACATTCCTCTTGTCATTTTCCGAATCAACAGTTCACAACACAAACCATATGTTGTGACAGTTATCCCAGTCTCCATCTCTAAAGGAGTTCTGGCTATAATTGTCTTACATCTAACTTTCTAAAACATTAACCAGAAAAGTCACACAAAAACACTGACTATAGTTGAAGCGTGACGCGAAAATCTATCACATATTCTATTCCCTCTCCCCTCCCCGCCCACCCAAGAAATAATGTAGAGTCACCAATAACCCCTCTCTCATTGCCGGCAATTAATTAATATCTTACCCCAAACAGGGGAAATTCACAGGTCACGGGACAGTCTAATATTTCAGGGGATGGTAGATAGGCTGCACGCAGTCGTTGGACTTAGGTTGCATGCATTCATGGGATCTAGGCTGCACTCTATCGTCGGACGTAGGTGGGTTGGGGTTAGGGCCAGTTTTGGATGTTTTGGAGTCGTTAAAAACGTCAGAAAGCGGGAAAACACAGTCTTACTAACCTCTGAAGTGTTGGACTGTCCTCTGACGACATCTGGGGTATGATAATAGGGAACCTCATCGCCTTTGCTTCCAAGACAATTTTGAAAATGCAGTGGTCTTAAATTGCTTCAGGCGGGGTCGATCCTGTAGTAGCAATCCTTCTTTTTATGGATTTATTGAACCTAGACTGCTGTTTTAGCATACAAAACATTTTTCGCAATGCTAAGATGACCATTACAAATAATAACATGAGTTGAAATAACAACTTCAATAGAAGAAATTACCATTACAAGGGTCTGTTGGCTGACAGCGATAAAACGATTTAAGTCGGGAATAGTGGAACTATGGTTATGATTATCTTGAGACAGACAATGCCTTGGCAGTCTTGAAGACAATAACTGTCTCGGTAGTATGTCCAAGTATCTTAAGACAGACATTGTTAAAAAAAGATCTGTCAGAGATAGAGAACACAATGATTGTCTTGGAATAAACGATGCTACAAAATAACTGTCTTAGGCAGCGTTGAAAAGTGCCTCAATACACTCAATGACTGTCAGAGTTAGAGCAGACTATGAATTTCTTGATGTTATAAAATAACTGTCTAGTGTAGAGTGGGATAGACATTTGTGATAGAGTAAAGATTCTGGATATAAACTTTAGTCTTGTTCGAAGATTTTCTGTGGAATATTGGTCACTGTTAACCACAAAGTAAGCAACATTCTGATACTGTTCTTGTTCTGAACGACAGTTAATACAAACTATGTTTCCTCTTCACAACAAAAACAAATACAACTCTGGGGTAAACGCACTTATGTAAAAGGGGAAGGCAGTTGGAATAAAGCGACTAATTAATGCATGCAAGAAAACTCCAAAAGCATCCACAGCATAGAAAGCATGTTTAATTTTTATTTATTTTTTTATTTTGTTTAAATAGATACAAATAAATAGCAAACCTTTTCCTTTTGTGGAGCTAGACTGTCAAAACATTGTTCTGTTTAACAGCTCGAATTTCTGCTATGTTTAAACACTGTCAAACTCTGTCGAGGATATCGAACTTTGCACGTCGGCATTATAAGGTGTGTTTCGCAACGCCTAGGCTACACACTCTGAATATAATAAACAATAAAATGTTGCGGTTTGACTACATTTTGCCTAAAGGTTGCTAAATTTGACACAAACACAGGTCCAATATACAAGCCGTGAACCTTGACCACCAGTGATGATAGCTCAATATTTTGCTGCCGGCAATCTGAATTCGGTAGAGCTTGTGCTATACCGCAGGTCGTTTGTCTTTACTCGCTAGGACATTATCGAAACAAACATACAAATGTCCCACCCTGTCTGATATCCAGGTTACACTGTAACCGTCTGATGCCCTAATGTAACTGTTAAAGGCCTGAATGCGATTTCCAACATTTGCCCATTTTGGATTCCCATCCGATTAGGTCTCTTCCAGTCACTAGGTAATAGTCTTTCAGAAAGTAGTCCGGGAGGAAGAAAACTGAAAAACAAAATCTAACCAAATTTTTATTTTTTATTTTTTCATTAGTGTCTGACGACCAAGGATAACATTTGAATTTTAAAATTCCACCTCGACTGCAACTCAGATGTACGGACCGACGGGGCAACTGTTCTGACTGCGATACTACGGCTTCACTGCTATTTGTCTTTTCATCTGCCGCCAGTGACAGCCCAGTGTTGGCAGATTTAATAGTTATCTGTGCGCTGCTGCTTCTAGTACACTGTATAAAATGCTGTTTATTTCGTTAATGCTGTTAGCACTTCTCGTCCTTTATCAGGATGAAATTTTTCGTTATTTTGAGGCCCTACTCTGGCTCTTGCCAGGGGCCGCAATATAGCCTGGCCATAAATATGGTCTAAAGGCTGAACGCGGTTTCTGGGACCTCTCCACGGTGATCCTCACCCACATGGTGGCCCATTATGTCATCGGGTGTTTATCGCTTGTGTGATGTCCTAGTGGGGTAGAAAGTTACTCAGTCAGGTAAGTTTTTAAAAAGGAGTAGAAAATTATAGGGAAGAGAAAAAGTTGGTAAGAAACAACAATTAGTTATGTTAGCTTTTGTCTATCACAATAAACAAACAGGATTTGCGACGAATAGTCATCAGCTCATTGGACAACACAGCTATCACGGCTCTAACTATGAATGACTCCATAGGACTCTAACATACTTCATACTTTCTAGTGTACCTGGCGAAAAAACTTCGTTCAATGAAATGACGGTCAGCCTATATACCTCCAACGCGCAGGCAGGGGCAAAAAAAGGGACGGGTTTGAAATGTTGTCTTGTTGCTTTTCCATTTTTGAATAGTCTCAAAAGGTCCGCTTCCGGACTATATGTTCAAACATACTTCAACTTTCTTATTGTATGCAAAAGACAGTGGACAGGTGTATCTAAGCGCTTCTTGTGACACAAAATCATATAAGCGTATCAGCTGATACATCATGTGACAGATGATATGCTTTGCAGAAACACGATAGAACTCTCCCGTTGGTAAGGCGCGTAATAGCTTTTATAAATATGTAACCTCCATCAATCAAACACCGGAAAATATGGTGATGTTTACAACATTTGGGAATTGTCCCTAGCAACAAATGTTGTGATATCAGAATCTCACCATTTGATCTCATTACGTTGTGACCTAGTAGTATTGTTGCATGTCTAACATTTGACACAGCTACAAAAGATGACGCCAACCCAACACACGTGTCAAAGACTAGCTTTATATTTATATACACACATACATATATATATATATATAGTATATATATATATATTATATATATATATTATATATATGTATTATATATATATATATAGTGAATTGGACCTATACATTTTAAAGCCATAATTATGAACTAAATATTTTAAACACATTCTATGTATAGGACTACCCCAGTTCTAAAATTTTGGATTTTTTGATAAAAAATATCTATCACAAACACATACAAAATACGGTGTGTATGTGTGTGTGTGTGTATATACATTATTCTGAACTACCTTTTATTGTTCTTTTGCAGATGTTTCCTTGCAGGGAATGAGTTGATCTCACGCCTGTCGCTACATCATTGCTTCCATTTGGATCTCTTACGGAACTAGAACTTTGGCCATTGTCTAAGAATCGCTGTGATCTTACCCTGATTCTCATTCCCCCGACAGAACAACAAGATTCCTGCCATTAAACCTGACTGAAAGTGACTGGAGACCGTAGTTGGCTCCTGGTGATCCTATTCTCATTGAGTCTTCCACTAGAGGGGGAATCACTGCTTGTAACAAACATATAGATGAACTCTATCAATGAACCATTGTGTCTGGAGGAACTAGTAGTCGGTGGCAATCACAATCACAACCACAGTCACAACCACAACCACAGCGCCATTCACCACCACGGTGTAATGACCATGCATCATCATCATCATCACCTCAGTGACTCCAACCCCTTACCTTCCGCCTCGGAATCCACTCTGTCGTCCCCACCGCACGGACATGGACACCACACCACCACTGTCCACCGAACGTTGACCCCAAGTGACGCCGCTTCCGACAGATCTGGTAAGTTTTCTGTTTATATTATTTGTCTAAAGATTAAAGAATGAGACAAAGAGATTGAAGTCTGGGTTCTCTTGCAGACTAACAGTGACAATATGCATTGATCAATTAACCAACATCATTATCTTCTTAGGGAACCACTTAAGAGCAGGTCATGGAAACTTGCCAGTCGATCTGAATATCTTGGGATCGGATCCTCTTTTTTCCCGCTTTTTTGTTGTTGTTTTTGCTACTCTTGTTCTTGTTAATATTGTTGTTGTGTTCGTCTCCTTCTTCGTCTTATTATTATGGGTAATACTATTAATATTATTATTATTTGAAAGGATTGATGGTACGTTCTGGTGTGGTTTACAACTGTGCCGCAATATCTGCACATGTCAGCTCGAAACATACGATTTAAGAAACAGCTTGGTTACTTGCCTTTTGCGGCATGCTTCTAAGGGGCAAGGCGTGTATTCCTACCCCTTACTCCTAGGCACCCTCAACCCCTACTTGATAGGGCCTCGAAATCAATTCGGGAAAAATCTGCATAAAGGAAGATCTCAGAGGGGACAAACTGGTCGATCGATCAAACATATCCACAGAAGTGCTTGAAACTGTTTCAGCCAGAATCCCACATTATGTCTAGTCTGTCTAGCTGGCTTGTCAATTTCGCTGCCTAGTCTGTGGTCTACTCGCCTTGCTCTATGTTCACTTTCCAGCTGTCATGAAAGTTTGAATATTTGCAGTGTTCGAATCTTCTGTCTCTGACGTGTAGAAGCACCATTTTGTTTTGCCCAGTCTTACCTCTTCTTCTTCTAGTCCATGGATTCCAGTCAGTTCTGACACGGATGATCTTCCAAGCGAGAGCTGCAACTGTCTATAACTAACTTTCTCTGTCTACCTCTGCATTTTATCCCTGCAACTTCCCTAGTTCCACGAATGTACTCCAGGTTTCTCCCTCTCATGACATGGCTAAAAAATGTTGATTGCCTCCTTCTGATGTGTGCAGGCAGTTCTCTTCGTGGGTCTATTTCCTTTAGGAAATCTTTCCGATCTGTCCAGGGTATTCTTAGCATTCCTATATAATAAACCACATCTCCCCCATTGACGAGCGCGTGTGCCTTCTGGTGGCGACTGCTAACTTTGGAGCCTCTAGCATTTACTGCGTGCACATATTTCTGGATTGTTTTCGGGGACTTATTGCTTGATCACCGGTTTTTCAGATGGGACGGCGAAGGACATTTCATTTGATGTGCGCTGCGCTTTCAAATCCAGCTGCCACTCGCTGCAGCCACGTTCGCGTTCGAAACCGTGCGGCTCCCGGGGTTCACCCAGCCTCTAGGAAATGGGTAGCAGAGTTGACACTCTGGGGTAAATAGAGGAACGTCGCTGTAGCTACAGAGTTACGTGCGGACAGCGACACAGACGGGCAGTTTCTTATCAGCTGTCCGTACTGGTGGCAGAGCACTTGTGTTTTATAACCGTGTGCAGTGACGCTGGTTCCCATCTCCCGACTTTACCTTTACCTTTAAGGAACGGAGCAAGCATGTGGGAAAACCTGACTGCATTGAAGCTTAAACCTCGACTAAGCCTAAGACTAAGGGCACATTTTTACTTCTTTCTGAATGTATCATGTGTGTAAAATTACATTTTAAGTGAGTATTTTTTTACTTTTTTTTTTCAAAGAGGGGGAGTGGAAGGGGAGGGGGTCGTTACCTATTTCTAATAGTAAGTGACGGCTCTCCTGTCAAATCCGGACGAAGAATAAACAGCCGTGGACGAGTTAGTTAGAGTTCTCTCCCTTGGCCGCACTCCGAACAGTAATCGGAAAACAAACGAAATAAACGACACACTTACCTATCATCCTGCGGTTGCGTGTAGGGTTGCGTACGGTTTCGTGAGGCATTGTGAATGGTTGTGTAGTCATCATCATGCGGTTGTTGGGTTAGAGTTAGGGGTAGGGTTAGGGTTAGGGGTAGGGTTAGGGTTAGGGTTAGGGGTAGGGTTAGGGGTAGGGTTAGGGGTAGGGTTAGGGTTAGGGTTAGGGTTAGGGGTAGGGTTAGGGTTAGGGGTAGGGTTAGGGTTAGGGGTAGGGTTAGGGTTAGGTTTAGGGGCAGGGTTAGGGGTAGGGTTAGGGGTAGGGTTAGGGTTAGATGTGAAAATTTTGACGTAGGATTTGGAAATACTGGCCGACAATATGATGTTTGTGGGAGTAGCGCCACTGAAACTCTGCCAAATATGACGCCAATAGCGTGCGACTGGTGCCCCCAATCGTTGGCGAATTGTGCGTTTGACCAGCATCCAGAGGCCCTCGATTGTTTGTGTGTGTGTATGGGACTGTGCGCGATTATAGGGAACTGGCGTCAAAATTGTCAAATCTAACGCTAAACCTAACCCTACCGCTAATCCTAATCCTACTCCCTAATCCTACTCCCTAACCCTAACCCCTACCCCCTAACCACGCAAATGTATCGATCATTAAAGCATATAATTCGGCAAACGCCAACAAACAAAACACACCCAAAAAAACACCCAGAATTGCCCTGCAGCGTCGAAAAAAACCCGGATCTGGGGGAAACAACCAAGCAATGGCAGCCCTGATGTCGACGTGACTGTCTTCTTTGTTTCGTTGTGGCTTTTCCGATCACTGTTTGGAGTGCGGCCAAGGGAGAGAACTCTGACTAAGTCGTCCAAGGCTGTTTATTCTTCGTCCGGATTTGACAGGAGTACCGTAAGTGACACCTGCGAGTAGGCTACGGTAATTAGAGAAAGCAAAAATCCACAGTTGGCAGAGATACATCAATCGTGGCCCTGCCACTTCATGCATCGTTGAACTCATGACATTTGGCCTAATTCGGCTGATTCCCAAATAAATTGCCTTGGAGTCGCTTTACTGTGCGCTTTAACTAGAGTATATTAAGTTAGTTGCGTATCCTTTACAGGACGTTGCAGAACCAACTCCAGCATTATTTGGCTGTTGTGGTTTTTCCAGGCAAATTTTACGTTCAGTAGTTTGCCATTGCCACTGAACGGTTTGGTCTCGGTACCATTGTCGAAACCAACGCAAGACAAATCGTCCGCAGCGGGGATGAAACCCGGCACCCCGGCATTACGAAGCGCGTTCGCGACGTCTAAACCACAGACGCCGACACACTGGGCTATTTTTAAAAAGAATCGTTGTGTATCCTTTACAGGACGTTGAAGAAGCCACTCTATCATTTGCTGTATTGTTTCTCCAAGGAGATTTACGTTCAGTAGTTTGCCATTGCTTACTAAACGGTTGACTTTCGATACCATTTTCGAAACCCACGCAAGACGGTCTACTTCCAAATCACCCACAACTGAGATGGAACCCCGGCATTACAAAGCGAGCTCTCAACACTCAAGCCACAAACGCCGACACATAGGGGTATGCGTTTCCTAAAACAATTTAATGTGGAAAAAATGTGGGAAGTAAAGATGGCTGGTGCCATAATGACAGTCTGATATTATTGCGTGATACTGTGGTGGGTCTAAACTATACAAAATTGAGATTACATCACAAACACTATACACCCAATGGCTCGTATTCTTTCGTTTTATAACTTATGACTTTGGGCAAAGTAGGGTGTGATGTGGAGAGAGAGAGATAAGGAGGGGGGGGGGGAGGAAGATGAGATCGAGAGACAGAAAAGAATTATGTCTGTGTGTGTGTTTTTGTGTATGAGTGTATATATATATATATATATGAGAGAGAGAGACAGAGACACAGAGAGACAGAGAGAGAGAGAAAGAGAATCGGAGAGACAGAATGGACCAGTCTAGAAAAAAATTTGTTTTTATTTTTTTTTTAATTCTATTGTCTTTTAAGGGGTTATGTAATCTGTACGGAGATAATTTTCAGATAGTTTCCGCTGCATATGTAGAGGTTAGTGGTATTTTTTATTTACCGTTCGGGGATGGCTTCATAGTTTATATGCATATATATATATATTATATATATATATATATATATATATATTATATATATATATATATATATAATATATATATATCTTATGTGTGTGTGTGTGTGTGTGGCCTTGAGAGAGAGAGAGTGAGTGAGAGAGAGAGAGAGAGAGAGAGAGAGAGAGAGAGAGAGAGAGAGAGAGAGAGAGAGAGAGAGAGAACACGAATGAACGAACTAACTTTATTTCCATAGGATTACAAATTGGGCACGCAACCCGTCTCCATAAGACCCTTTCAAAAACTCATTTTTCACACGGCAATTGCATTTAAAATGTCAAGCATATTATGTTCCTGTATCAAAATTCATAGTTAGAATGTAAAGCAAAAGTAAAAAACATTGATTGCAAATGCATATCTTCAAACAGACATGCAAAATACACACAGACACACACACGCACACAACAGTCACATAGCAAGACAGACGTATACACACACAAACATAAACACATAAACACACTTGCACAATCGGAGGCTCACACACTGACAACACGCAATGTCACAACATACAGATACACGCTCATAGACACAACACATACATACAGGCACAAAACGCACACAGATAAACCATATACACACCGACAAAACACATTAATACAGGCACAACACATAAGCAAAAGTATAAGACACGCTCGGTCGCACAACAAAACAATATACACAGGAAATGACACACTCACAGACACCACACATTCTCGAATATACATGCACATACACACGGAGACAAAACACACAGACACAACACACACTCGAATATACATGCACATACACACGGAGACAAAACACATGGAGACAAAACACACTGACACAATACACACACCGACACAACACCTGTGCACATAGACTTAACAAAGAGAGAGAGAGAGAAGCGACGTCTACACAAAAATTTGAGTTGTTTAAAACAATATTATTTGTATAGATAGAGCATTTGTTTATTTTCTGCGTTATTTCGCACTCGAATAGACAGACATATGTGCAGACAAACAGACATACCTACAGACGGACTGACGGATCTGCCGACCTAGAGATAGAGGTAAACA